CCTGTTTACACGAGAGAAAATGGAACGGTTCCAAATGGAACCGTTCCAAAACTAGTACGGATAGGCCTTGCGTTTACACGGGAACTGTTGGAACCGTTCCAGTTTGGATCTGCTATCCGTGCTCTTTTGGCTCCGCTACAGAAACGGTTCCATTTGGAACCGTTCCGTTTGGCTCCCGTGTAAACGGGCAGAACCGCATGGAACCGAGCCAAAAGAGAACGGATAGGAATTGAGGCTACTATGCTATGAGATAGAGGCCAGTTGGAAATGATTTCTTTGTTTGCTTTATTGCTGCGCGCCAAAAAAGAAGAGAAAAAAGTTGATTTGTTTACGATCTATTTCATACATACTTCACGATGAACCGATTAAAGAATACTGTAGCATCAATTTTCTCAATTTTATTGTCAGTTTTGGTAGCTAAAGTTGAAATTATCAGTACTTTGCGTCTCCTTCATAACTTACGACAGCGAAGAATTTTGAATATGATAACAAGCATCGACCAGCGTCAGAGTATTTTCAGGAATTTAATGGCGATGAAGAATGCTCGCAGAAATCCAAAAAGAAGGTTCTGGATCAGGCCAGGGCGAACGGATGGTTGGTGGCAAAACTTTGTAGACAATGTTGTTGTACCAGAAGAATGGAGAGAGAACTTTCGCATGAGTAAGAACAGTTTTCTTCTACTGTGTAACAAGCTAAGGCCTTTCTTGGAAAAACAAACTACAAATATGCGCCAGTCTATATCTGTAGAAAAACAACTAGCAGTCACATTATATTACTTGGTCGACGAGGGCAGATATAGAAAAGTTGCTAATGCTTTTGGCATTTCAAGATCAGCTGTTTCAAAAGTGGTTAGAAAAGTATGCCATGTTATAACAAATGAACTAGGACCAACATACATCAAGACACCTCAAACTGAAGATGAAGTACAGTTTCTTACTGAAAATTTCTATATGCATCATGGTTTTCCTCAATGTTTGGGTGCAGTAGATGGAACCCATGTATTTATTCGTCAGCCTTCAAAAAACCCAACTGACTTTTTAAACAGAAAAAACAGATATTCCTTGAATGTCCAGGCAACCTGTGACTATCGGTATTGCTTTATAGATGTTGTAGTAAAATGGCCTGGTTGTGTGCATGATGCACGAATCTTTGCTAATTCTGCAATAAACAAAATGTTACAAAATGGTGATATTCCACCATGTCAGAAAGAAATCGTTGAAGGTCATGACAGTGTCCCTGTCTGTCTCCTTGGTGACCCAGCATATCCACTTCAGCCATATCTCATCAAAGAATATGCCAATGGAGGTAAAACAATTGATGAGCAATTTTTTTGTCATCGTCTCTCGTCTGCAAGAATGGTAATCGAATGTGCTTTTGGCAGACTCAAAGCAAGATTTGGAGCACTACGTCGAGAAATGGACATATGTCAGACCAGTCTGTCAGATGTGATATACAGCTGCTTTGTACTACACAATTTTTGTGAACTTCATAAAGAAAGAGTGCCTGAGGAACACATAAAAGCCGCTATGAATTATGATAGAGATTTTCAGCCAAACTCTAGTGGAAAAAGAAACAATTCAGGAGAATCAGAAGGCAAAAAAGTCAGAGACATGTTCAAATTATACTTTAACAACAACTGACATTTTAAAAACTTTCCAATTATTAACGTTTAAACATTTCATCCCAAAAACAGTTTATCTTAGTTTTAATGATACAGTTTGTTATGTTGATTTCCATTATTTCTAACCAAGTTAATTTTGTTTAGAGTTAAAAATCAGTTGAATCAATATAATATGATACTTCTTAATTAAGAAAGCTTGTTTGAGTTTCTACAATAGTGTGCTAGTATGGAAAAATTGTAAGTAAAATAGTTTTTCGAGTTACAAATCAGTATAATGTGGCTCTGAACTGTCTTCATTTCTGTTAGTGCTTCGATTGTACATTATGTTTTGCCACTGGTTCCCATTTCCTTGCCCTTGGTAGTAATTGGGTGCTGGATAAAACTCTTGCATTGGCTGAAACATCATTTGCATCATTTTAAAGCCTTCTGACATTGTCTTATTCAAATCTTCTGAAAGTTGCCTAATTGTTGAAGAGAACTGTTTCTCAGAGGACTCAAATTGAGCAACAAGCTTCTTTTTCAATTCTATGTCTTCCTTTCTCATCTCAGCCTCTTCTGTTGCAAAATTTAAAATCTTCTCTTGGAAAGTAGTCTTCTTGATTGACTTGGAATTTCGGCGGTCTTTTAACAAATTTGCAAGTTCTTCTCTCCTAAGCTTCATTTTCTTTTTTAATGGTTCACAGGATATTGGTGAATCTTCGTCAATGTAATCAATATTCTCTTCATTGTTGCCAGCAATACTTGATCCCTGAGAATCCACTTCTATAGGAGAATTCTCCTCTGCCAATATTTCTTCATCATTTGCGGGATTATTTACGCCTGTTGTTTCAAAACCTCCATCAATGCTTGTTGCTGCTGGGCATCCAGCCCATATTTCAGAACACTCCTGGTAAAGAGAAGACACTATTCTGCCACCACCACTTTTTCGCCCACTGTCGAGTGCTTTTCTGAAACTATTTTTCATTTTTTTCAGTTTCGAAGAAACTTTAGAAGCGGAAAATTCTTCTTTGGTTTCTCCTCTTGGAAATTCATCAGTAACTTCATCTGGATAGGCATCTTGTAAACGGCATGCCAAGTCTTCGTACTTGGAGCGAATGGTTTCCCAGTCCTGTCCAGCTGCATATTTGGCTGTTTTGTAGTCCAAGACAATTTTCAACAATAGTGCAGTTTCTTCTTCTGTCCAAACGAAAAGTTTCTTGGTAATGTTTGTTGCTGCCATGTTGATAAAAATTGTCGTAATCGAGTCGAATGATGCGATTTACAAGTTTTGGCGCCAATCGAACAGAAGGAATTACTGCGCATGCTCTCCCTCCTCTGAAGCAATTTCTGGAACGGTTCCAGGATGCCCGTGTAAACGCAAGCAGAAAAAATTTGGAACCGTTCCAAACGGCACGGTTCCAAATGGAACCGTTCCATTTTCTCTCGTGTAAACAGGGTCTAAGATACCAGAGTATGTCAGCCATGGGAATTTTTGAAGCCATGCTGAATTAAATTTTCTGTTCTTACCATAAGAATAATGAATTAGGTAAACATACTGAGGGCTTGGTTTCCAAATATTTTTTAAAATATCATATATCTGAGGGTCTGTCAAACTACTCACTTTGTCATAAAAAGAGCCAATGTCACATAAATGACCTTGCAACACATTCTTCTGCTGTACTTTCTCATTTGGCAACTCCTTTTGATTAGACAAAGCTGTTGTACTTGATGCAACATCAACTAATCCATTGGTACTCTTGGATATAGCAGAGAAGGGGATTTTCATTTGTTTTTTAGAAGAACCAGAAGATGAAAGGTCCTCAACCAAAGCTTGTTTTTTACCATAGGACAATAATTTTGCATCTACATTAGCATAAAACAAAGGCACAATATGATTAGGCACAAATGATTTTCTGCAGCGTTGCATAAGAGTATCTAACCTTGTCCATAGGAGACGAACTGGAGTCGAAGTAAATTCTGGTTCTATTCGGGGCTTGATAACAGCATTGAATACATTATGAGCATGACTCATAGGTACACCACGCCCCATATCTGGGTAAAAGGAGTGGATGTCTAAACCCAAAACACTTGACAAAGCCATCAGACAAGAAAAGGGAGACCATCTCTTGTTCTGACAGTTGTTCAAGGCCTCAAATTTGATACAGTCAACAAAAGTCTTGGACTTATTCTCCAAGATATCAGTAACCTCAAAAGTGTTGGCAATTTGAAAAAAACTACCACGAAGACTAGAAGTTTTATGAGCTGGAAGGAGACCCATGAAATGTGGATGGGAAGCATAATATTCAGCATATGAAATAACTCTATTGATGTCAGAGCTCTAAGTGTCAAGGAAAGGTTTTCACTTCCATTCACAACAACTGATGCTGAATTATACAGGCAGTTTCCATCAGTACTAACCCTAGTAAGAAAGTTGATACCCTGTTGTAAATAATACCAAAATGTACTTTTGCGTAAGATTTTCACATTATATATATATAAGTATAATTTGAAACTGGTGTGGTAAAAATCTGTACATAGGACTTGTTATGATACTTTGTCAGAATTTAACAGTGACAATTTGAACTGAACTGTGATACCAGTATTTTTAAACAAACTGGGGCAAGAGGTT